GAGAGATCAGTGGGAGCCCTGTGTAAGTTCCAGGCTGGGAGGCTCATTTACAAAAACATTGTCCTCTGAAGAGCGATTTTTAGTGGATCACTTTTTAGAAGGTGCTTGACACTTTCCTGTTTTCAAGCTCAACCATATGGTCCAGGGCAGTTGTGGCTCAGCACTACCCACATGGAAGAAAAATATATTTGAAATATATTTTTAAAATATTCTTCCCAAATATATTGACATATCTTTGAAATGCTACAATATTGGCCATATTCAATATATTGATATATATATCTCCTAGATTGTAAGCTACCAGGATCAGGGCCCTCCTATCGCTCTTGTATTGAACTGTATTGTTGCTGTATTGTCTCCCGTTATATTGTAAAGTGCAGAGCAAACTGTTGGCACTGTATAAATCCTATAATATAATATATATATATATATATATATATATATTTATTTTTTTTTTTTTTGATGCGTTTTTTGTTTAACATCTGTCTATCAGCAAGAAAAAAAATGTGAAAAAAAATGAAAAAAAAAAAAAAAAAAAAAAACACGGAAAAAAAAAAGTGGCAAAAACGCAATGCAGAAATGCATCGAATACAACCTGCACAGGTGTGGACCTAGGGTAAGGATGGGTCAGAATGAACATCAGATCACAGGTGGGGAAGCTGGTCACTCTCAATGCCCTGGGGTGATTCCAGGCCTGGATCCTCTGAGGGGTTCCCAGGTGGGTTTTGTACTAGTTGGATAGGGGGAGGTCAAAAAATCAGTCAGGAACCACAGAAGCGTCTATTGTGGGGTGTCTAAGGATAGGTTGGAATAAATCATGTCTGATGAACATCAAATAGGTTGAACACCACAGGTTAAGAAATTGGTCACTCCCACTGCCCCGGGGGGTTCCCAATCCTGGATCCTCTGAAGGATTCTTAGGTAAGTTTTGTACTAGTTGGATAGGAGAAGGCAAAAAAAGTCAATAATCTGAATGGCAGAGGCACCTTTTGTGGTCTGTCTAAGGATGGGCCAGAATTGTCATGCTTGATGAACATTTATAAAGGTTTATTTCACCAAAAGGTGAAGAGTGAAGTTGAAGAAGTTGGCCACTCTCAATGCCCTGGGGGGGTCCCAATCCTGGATCCTCTGAGAAGTTCTCAGGTGGGTTTTATACTAGTTGGATGGGGGAAGGACAAAAGAATCAGTCAGGAACCACAGAGGTGTCCATTGTGGTGTGTCTAAAGATGGGTCGGAATCATCATTTTTGATGGACATCAAATAGTTTTGATGGACACAGTTGAACAGTGCAGGTGGAGACATTGGTCACTCTCAATTCCTTGGGGAGGTCCCAATCCTGGATCCTCTGAGGGATTCTAAGGTAAGTTCTGTACTAGTTGGATAGGAGAAGACCAAAAAATGAGTCGGGAACTTTAGAGGCGTCTATTGTATTGTCTAAGGATGGTTGGAATCGTCATGTTTGATAAACATCAAATTGGTTTATTCCATCAAAAAAGGTGAAGAGTGCAGGTGGAGAGGTTAATCACTCTTGATTCCTTGGGGAGAACCCAATCCTGGATCCTCTGAGGGATTCTTAGGTAAGTTCTGTACTAGTTGGATAGGAAAAGAGCAAAAAACAGAGTCAGGAACCATAGAGGCGTTCATTGCAATGTCTAAGGATGGTCGGAAGGAATCATCATGTTTGATGAACATTAAACAGGTTTATTTAATCAAAAAAAGGTGAAGAGTGCAGGTGGAGAAGTAGGTCACTCTCAATTTCTTGGGGAGGTCCCAATCCTGGATCCTCTGAGGGATTCTTAGGTAAGTTCTGGTGTTGGTCACTCTCAATGCGGTGGGGTAAATGAGTCTCCCGCTCCTCAATCTTGGAGAAAATACAGCATGATATTGGGATGGGGGTTTCCCTAAAATAGCTACCAGAGTCCACGCCTGTAGACCCCCTTCTGTTCCCAGCTCACACATCTGAGATTGATTGGCTTAAAAATGAGACAGGGAAGGTAATGAGGACCAGGCTGGTCGGAATGGAATATAGTTGATTTGCTCTGGTGGTCCAGTGTGTGGAAAGTACCTAGGAACCACAAATGGGTAAATCAGGACCTGGCCTGCCCCACAGGCACCCAGCATTACATCATGCCTATGCTCCCGTAATGTCTGGAAGTTGGTGCCTGCTTGGTAAATTCAGGCTGCTGGGAGTTGTAAGTGTGATTGGCAGGAGTATTGGTACATCTTGGCACCCTATGGAAGCCGCTTTCCTGTGCAGCAGTTGCCTAATGTGTGCTGCTTCAGGTACAGGTTCACTTTAGGGCCATAAACTCTTTGCTTGTAAATTCTAGTCTGGAGAGCATCAACTTCACTAAGTATTTGCAGAGCATTTAATGAGCTTCGAGTAGCTTTCTTGAAGCCCTTAAGGCAACCGTCAGCTCAAGGCTGGGTGTGCTAAAAATAAATCTTAAAGCGGAGCTCCACCTGAAAAAAAAAATAAAATAAAAGTCAGCAGCTACAAAAACTGTAGCTGCTGACTATTAAAATACAGACACTTACCTGTCCCTCGGTCCAGGGGTGTCCTCACCACCGCTGGTTTCATCAGCCGTCTTCTCTTTCCGGTGCCGGCAACTTCAGTGTGGGCAGCTGGCTGTGACAGCTTGCGGCTTCACAGCTGGATGCCCACTGCGCATGCACGAATGCGTGAATGGCCCCGTCAGTGGTGTATTTAGGCAACGCAAAAATCGTTTGCCCCACGGGGACACCAACCAACATCCCCTCCCCCTTCCCAGAGCCTGACATTGACCAAAAACACCCCTGCCCCCCACTCGGGAGAGATTTCAACTACCCCCCTCCCCCCCCCGGCGATAGAGAGAAAGACACTCATCTTCAAAGCTCCGGACATCCCTGGGCATGAGAGCCAGGATCTACATAATCCATCAAGCAGCCCACAGCCTCTTTTGGATCCCACCTGGTTCCCATGGCGCGGTCGTCCCTTCTTTCATCCCTTCTTCTGAGGGGAGGTGCTGCCCCCCTGAAAAATGCCACCCTAGGCAAGTGCCTTGTTTGCCTTGTGGTAAATATTCCCCTGGGCCTCGTAGTCTTCTGGGACCTGTCACGTGTCCCAGAAGACTACAGAGAGAGAGGGGGGAGGACAACCGGAAGTGGGAGCGGGTACCTGTCAAATTCTAGTACCCGCTCCCCAAAGGTGCCAATCCTTAATGGGGAGCGGGGGACAAAGGCTTAAAGTGAACATCCCCTTTTGGGTGGAGCTCTGCTTTAAAGTGAACCTATAATTTACCTATAGTGGGGGATTTTAAAAAAAAAAAAGTAACATAATGCAGCTTGCCAGTCCTTAGAAGTGGCGGCTGCAGTAGTTTTTGTTTCTTTATTAAAACCTGGTGATCTGGCCATTAAAACACTTCCTGTGCTGTGGTGACAACGCTCACTCGCTGTACTGCATCCATGAAGGAATTGTCACCCTTTGCTGCTTACTCATTATTTGGACTATAGAGCACTGCCTCCTCATCTCCATAACATTATGGGGAGGTGACCTGTAGTTCAGAGGAGAACTGGGCAGGGTTGACAATACTTCTGGAGATAACACTGTATAGAGCACAGGAATTTTACAAGCTCACTAGCTTTCTGGCAGGATCAACTTGTTTTTTTTTTTGCCTCTATCAGAAATTAAAAAAAAAAACTTCAACTTGTTTGGGATCAGGTTGGTGGTGGTGCAGAAGAAGCAAGTCCTTTCTGTAAAATAGATCTTATACTTTGTCCATTATGGGGAAAGTTCCTTGTCAAATGTTGCGGATTACAGTACTTAGATGCAGTGGCTGCATTTGTTTTCTTTTTTTTTTTCCAGGCTAAAAACATTTTCATCAAATACAGAAAATATCTGTTGATCCTGCCAGATCCTGTCAGAAATGCAGTGTCTTCTCACTTCCTGTGAGCTACACAGTAGAATTTCTTCCTTCCTAGCTATGAGTCTTCTGTAAACTGCCATTTGCCCTTCCCCCCATGTAATGGAGATAAAGAGATATGGACAGGTTAGTAGTCCATATCAGCAAAGCAGCCTAGGGGTGACAACCATGGCTCCCTACACATTTACAGTAGAGGGGTGATGTAGTCACCCAGGGACAGGAAGTGTGTTATCTGCAGGATCACCAGGTGAAAATAAAGGAGAATAAGCCTGAAAAAAGAACATGAAGGCAGCCACCACACCAAGGACTAGCAAGCTGCAATATATTAAATTTTTCTTCTGTAAACTGCCATTTGCCCTGCCCCCCATGTAATGGAGATGAAGAGATATGGACGCGTTTGTAGTCCATATCAGCAAAGCAGCCTAGGATGACAACCATGGCTCCCTGCACATTTACAGTAGAGGGGTGATGTAGTCACCCAGGGACAGGAAGTGTGTTATCTGCAGGATCACCAGGTGAAAATAAAGGAAAATAAGCCTGAAAAAAGAACATGAAGGCAGCCACCACACCAAGGACTAGCAAGCTGCAATATATTACATTTTTGGTTTTAGGTACACTTTAGGTCGGACTTGAAGTCTGCACTGACCGTTTTTTTTTAAAAGCGACTTGAAGAATTTTTCCTGTTTTAACATTTTTGGCACCTTATATGTAGGGATGACTGGAAATGTGCCATTTCATTTTGATTCAAGAGATACTTAGATGGATTTGCACCAGGGGCGGGACAAGGGGTGGGCAGAAGGGGCAGCTGCCTCAGGCACAGCAAGGGGGGGGGGGATCCCCCCCCAGGCACAGCAATGGAAGGGAGGGACCCCCTTCCCTCAAACTGCATGCATGCTGTAGTGGCAGGCAACCATAAAGCTAGCAATTGGTTGCGCATGTGCAGTGCTCACTCCATGCCAGCCATGGGCATCCAGAGCAGGGGGCAGAGAATGGGTGCCATTAGCAGCAAGGGAGGAGTGCGCACTTCTGAATACTTGCCCTGGGCGCTGGAGGAACCTGTCCCAGCACTTGTCTGCATGCTCACTTTGCAGTCACCACCAGGGCAGTAGGGGACAGAACAGGGGCGGACTGACCAGGGGCGGACTGACAACTCATGGGGCCCCCGGGCAATAGGGGATCATGGGGCCCCTGTGTCCTTGCCCAAACTGAAAAATGCCTATGAAAAAGGTACCAGGGGCATCCCATGGGGCCCCCTACTGGCCCCGGGCCCTCGGGCAGTGCCCGAGTTTCCAAATGGTCAGTCCGCCCCTGGGACTGACAACTCATGAGGCCCCTGTGTCCTTGCCCAAACTCAAAAAAGCCTATGAAAAAGGTACCAGGGGCATCTCATGGGGCCCCCTACTGACCCCGGGCCCTCGGGCAGTGCCTGAGTTTCCAAATGGTCAGTCCGCCCCTGGTAGAGAATGACAATGTAGAAGCACAATTAGGAGACAGTTGTCACCCCATAGTGACAGCCCTAAGGCTTGGTTCACACTGGATGTGATTAAAAATCACGCATTTTGTTTGCGATTTCACCACATTTTCTGAAAATTTCCCAACGATTTCTTACGTTTTCCATTGTGTTTTGCTGTGCGATTTCTATTGTAGTCTATATGTGAAATCGCAACAAACTGCAGAAAAAGTCATACAAGAACTAATTTTGAAATCTCGTTGCAGCAAATCGCGTACGTTAAGACGCTCACATTCATCAGATCCAATTTCAGGTACGATTTCAATTTCCAAATCGCACCTGAAATCGCAGCGGTGTGAACCGGGGCTAAAACTAGAGAGTGCAAAATCTGGTGCAGCTATGCATGGCAACCAATCGGGTTCATACCGGTGTGATTGGCAAATTGAAATCGCATCTAATGAATGTGAATGTCAGTATCTTATCATGCGCGATTTGCTGCGGCGCAATTTCTAAAGTAGTTCTTGCATGACTTTTTCTGCAGCTTTGTTGCGATTTTGCATACATAGAATATAATGAAAATCGCACAGCAAATTGCAAGAAATGGTTAAAAATAAAGTCTTCAGAAATCGCACCTGAAATTGCATACCAAGCACGCAATTTTAAAACACAGCGGTGTGACCGGTGACTAACTTCAGATTGTTCATGTAAGCTTTGATAATAAAACCTGGAAGCTGATTGGTTTCTATGCGGAGCAGGGGCGGACTGACCAATCGAGCACTCGGGCACTGCCCGAGGGCCTGGGTCAGTAGGGGGCCCCATGAGATGCCTCTGATACCTTTCATTGGCTTTTTTTTCATAGGCTTTTTTGGGTATGGGCGAGGACATGGGGGCCCCATGATCCCCTATTGCCCGGGGGCCCCATGAGTTGTCAGTCCGCCCCTGATGCGGAGCTGCGTCAGATTTTGCACCCTCAAGTTTTAGTAAACAACCCCCATAGGCTTTTATTGAGGGGAAGTCAGGGGCTTAGGCAAAAAATGCCGGAAGCCCCCAAATCGCCAGTTTAGGAGCAGCAGCGTGCATGAACCCATAGCATAAGGCAGGGGTGGGCAACTGTGGCCCTCCAGCTGCTGGTGAACTACAAGTCCCATCATGCCTCTGCCTTTGGGAGTCATGCTTGTAACTGTCAGTTTTGCAATGCCTAATGGGACTTGTAGTTTTTCTACAACAGCTGGAGGGCCACAGTTGCCCACCCCTGGCATAAGGGGTTCAAATACAGGTCAGTTTCAATATGATTTGGGGCACTGGTGGTGTCCGCCTGGGCTCAGCTACGCACTGGCTGCGTGAGTATGGGAATGCATCCCAGACGCCGCTTGCAGTGACTGAGCTGCATTTGCAAAAACGCGCCACGGCCAATGTGTACAGCCAGCTGTGATGAGATTAGACATCATCGATGCCTCTGTGCTCCGGCTGGGCCGCCGCGTGCAGATTGCTGGCCGATGATCGCTACCTCCTCTCTGCGTGGAGGCTACTGGGGGGGGAAAGCTGTGTTTCCAACAGTCGTGGCAAAGAAAAAACTCTTCTTCCGACCCCCTGATGAAGTTTAAATAATTAACTGCTTCCCTGCTTGTTTGTCACCCAGCTTTCCCAGCTGCCCTTGAGGGTCCAAACGCGTCAACGTTAACCCTTTATCGTAATCTATGAACCCTTAATGGCTTGACACCGAACCAACCACTCCAAATACTCTCGTTGACTTGAATTACCGTATCTAGTCATGTTAACCCTTGGCTGGCCCAATGGTGCTGGAAACAAGACCACGTCCAATGGGCGAACCCAATTGGGAAGATTAACAGTTTCTTTTCTGCAGCTTATCAAGACGGGGCCAACTTCCCAGATGCCCTTGAAGGGGGGAGGGTTGAAAGTTTGCATTAACCCTTTGGTTCCCACCAAGCTGGGTTCTCTAGGTATTGGTTCAACCCTAGCGAAAGAGGCTGAACCAATATTCCCAGCTGCCCTTGGAGGGGAAAATCTCTGCGTCGAAGAGCGTTAACCCCTTCAAGGGCAGCTACGGTGTCGCTGACGGCGGCGTTGCTGGCCATGAAGGCCACTCTTGGGGAATGGTGGTGGTGGTGGGGGGGGGGAGCCTTGGTCGGCTTGCAGTAGCAGACCCCTATCACACCTTCGCTTAACAAGTGTGTGTGTGCATGAGATGTGTGTCTCTTCTCCTCCCCTTTCAGCCCAGGTCTGAGGCTGAGCCGGTGCTTTCCTCCCCTCCCATTGTCTGTATAGCACAGTGAGTTAATGCAGAATCCCAGCCCTGCTCTCTGCAGCCAGCTCTCCCTCCCTCCCTGTGTCTCTGCACCCCTCCGGAGTATCGATGTGATTGTCTCCCCCTCTCTCTCTTTCCCTCCCCGGCCAGGGCTCTGCAGCTGTCTCTGTACTGGGGAAAGGTGGAATCAGCATCCAGCATCACCGACCGCAGCATCAGCACCACTTGCAGCATCCTGAGTGTATCAGGGTAAGTCCCATCCTCCTCCCCAATGATAGCTGCGTCACCTCTGAGGTTGTGTTATCCTGGGGTACCCCTCCACCCCCCCCACCTTTTCCCTCCCAAGGCCTCCGCTAGCCACGGTTGGGGGGGGGGATGCTCTGCAGTCGTTCAGCTTGTACCTAGTGCCCTGTTGCTATGAGCTGGTGCAGTGCAATGTCTGGTGACTGCAGTGTGGACAAGATACTCTGCAGCATTGACAATCTATCCCCCCCACCCCACCCCCTCCATCCAACCCAAGCAACTGTCTACCAACTTTTGGGAATTGCATAGGAAGCCCCAATCACTTACAGGGCTTTGCAGCAGTGACCTTAAGTGCGCTTGCTATGGGGGGTATATTGCATCCATAGCAAGGATGGATAGATGATGATTGCTACAGGTTGCAATGGCCAGGCGCATCATTACTGCAGAGAAATCAACCTGTGGCTGAGCATGCTGGGATTTGTAGTTCTACAACTGTTACCCCCCCCCCCCCACCTTCCCCAGCTCATAGGAAAATTAGTGGAATGTATACCCTATTCCTTTTTTTTGGTTGCATCCCCAGCCATGCTGGGACTTGTAGTCCTGAACAGCTACAGGTTGCTTGCAATTTCTACCAAAGCAGGGCTTGTTTAATGAGCAGAGCAATGATGGCGTGTATAGTTCTGTAGCTGCAAAGGCACCAAAGAGTTGTCACCTTTCTTCAGGTTACAGCGGGTGGAACTAATGAAAGATCGTTGCTGGTTGGCCGACATGGTTTTCTGCATTTTGTACATTTCTTTTCTTCCCTTTTTTTTTGCCTTATGCCAACCTTTATGTCTTGTTTGCCCCCCCCCCCCCCCCCCCCCCAGGGTATGTATGGGAGACGTGAGCGATGGGTTCAGCGGAGTGTCTGCAGATTGTGTTTCAGGCAGCGTCTTGTCTGCATCATTAGACTTAGGTCGGTGCATGTTGCCCAGGTGAATTCCTGCGACAGGTTATACTAGGGGAGATGGAGGGGGGTTGTAGGATCTTTGTTGTAAAAGGCCACCTGCTATGAGGTGACGACTGTCTGGCCGTGACGCTTGCTGGAGATTTGGGAACATAGGTCTGTGTATTTATTACAGACATGACAGCATAGTAAAGACATTTGCACCTAGGGCACTGTATAATCATTGCAGGGTCTTGGCGCGGTCACATAAGTGATGTCACACTTTAGACACGCGGTCGTCACATTTATACCCCCTCTCGTCGTCTGTAAAAGGTTAGCAAGCTGAAGGCAGGGGTGACATTCTGGGGTTATGTAAACTGTGTCTGGCTGGGATCATCAACAGTCCTCATGTGGAGGAACTGTTTAGCTCTGGTGTTTGTGGACCCATGAAGGCCACTAACAGTTCTTCCTATGATGCTAACATGTTCTGTAGTGCTGTACTGTAATAGGTGGCATGGAAATACTAAGGAATGGTAGAGGTGTCCATAGGCGGCATGGAATACTAAGGAATGGTAGAGGTGTTCATAGAGGGCATGGAATACTAAGGAATGGTAGAGGTGTTCATAGAGGGCATGGAATACTAAGGAATGGTAGAGGTGCCCATAGGTGGCATGGAATACTAAGGAATAGTAGTGATATCCATAGGTGGCATGGAATACTAAGGAATGGTAGAAGTGTTCATAGGGGGCATGGAATACTAAGGAATGGTAGAGGTGTCCATAGGTGGCATGGAATACTACAGAATGGTAGAGGTGTCCATAGGGGGCATGAAATACTAAGGAATGGTAGAAGTGTCCATAGGTGGCATGGAATACGAAGGAACGGTAGAGGTGTTCATAGAGGGTATGGAATACTACAGAATGGTAGAGGTGTCCATAGGTGGCATGGAATACTAAGGAATGGTAGAGGTGTTCATAGAGGGCATGGAATACTAAGGAATGGTAGAGGTGCCCATAGGTGGCATGGAATACTAAGGAATAGTAGTGATATCCATAGGTGGCATGGAATACTAAGGAATGGTAGAAGTGTTCATAGGGGGCATGGAATACTAAGGAATGGTAGAGGTGTCCATAGGTGGCATGGAATACTACAGAATGGTAGAGGTGTCCATAGGGGGCATGAAATACTAAGGAATGGTAGAAGTGTCCATAGGTGGCATGGAATACTAAGGAACGGGTAGAGGTGTTCATAGAGGGTATGGAATACTACAGAATGGTAGAGGTGTCCATAGGTGGCATGGAATACTAAGGAATGGTAGAGGTGTACATAGAGGGCATGGAATATGAAGGAATGGTAGAGGTGCCCATAGGTGGCATGGAATACTAAGGAATAGTAGTGATATCCATAGGTGGCATGGAATACTAAGG